TGATGAAATTTTATGTTTTCTTTTCTTTTCTTTTCCACTTTTTCTTCTTGTAGGGAATACTAAAATTTATTTTATGTTTCATTTTATTTGTGCTTCTTTTGTTGTTTTTGTTTTTTGGGCTTACATCATTTCCCCTAAGAAGCTTTTTGTACACAAGATAATAAGCATAAGCAGTAAGGAAACAATCATAAAAATATGGGTCATTATAGTTTAAGTAAAAATTTTCAAAATGGGTTTTGAATTCAAAAGGAGTGATAAAAACTTTTATATCGGAACGATTTTGTTTTATTTTTGTTTTTAATATCATTATTGAATGAATGAACACTCGTGCATGAAAATATGAATTTGTAAAATTTTTACAATTAAACAATAGTAAAATTTTAATTTTTTTCTGTTTATGGCGAAATATTTGCTACAATTTCTGAGTTATATTGACTATAACAAAAAATTGTAGAAAAAAATAATTTATATAAATCGAAACACTAATTTTTCTATGATACAAACCTATAAACTTTAAATATTAAGAGATTGCCTTTTATTTTAGTTTTGAAATAAAACTAAAAGTGCCAAAAACCATACATTAACCATTTTTCAACAATGCAGGTTTATTTTATACATTTTATTTCATAGTTTATTTATATTTTTATGAATTTCCTAAAAAGAGCTTAAAAGCTCCTACAGATCGTATTGTAAGCTCGTTTAGTTAAGGCGGCCACGTAAATGAAAACTTACCTTGCAAATATACAGCGACTATCAATAGGAAACTTGTTTACTCATACAAATTGTAAGCCTAATTAATCCAAAATGCATTCAACTTTTTGAAATTAAAATAATGAAAACCGCAGTCTATTTAACATTCAAGTAAGACCCTAATTTTTTAATCTAATTAAGTAGAGGACTCCTAACTACGAATTAGGATTGTTGTACTTAATTCAAACTCATTTTTAATTTTTTTTAAAACTAAAATTTTTGAGCTACTAAAGCATTTAGTAATGCTCTGTTTTTTTCAATGTAATTGCTTGAATTCGTACACTTTTTTTTTGTAGTTTGTTTCAGAAAATTCATAATTTTGCTAATAACTTGTTATATACGCTACAAATCTATCACTTAGATATTTAAAAAAAAAAAGTAAAATATTTCCTACAAAAAGCAATTCTCTAATTTCAATTGGAATATTGCAATGATACAGAAATTAATATTTTTTACAGTCATAAGAATTGGAGCAGCTGTTTTAAAAAAAAAATAAATAAATAAGCGTACTCGCTTAATAGTGATTATGCATACAAACATACACACAACAATTTAATGCGATCCATTTCCATTTCATTTATACTTACATATATAGGTATATACACATATAATGTGTAACATACACATTTACAATTAGCCAGCATTCATTTAAAATTACAAAAGTTAAAATAGAACAGGTAAAATTCTTGTATTTCATTAAATGGCTATAGTATTATTTGATAAACATAGTAGATTTGGATATTTTCTACAATATAAGATTTTTTTTACACTAAACATCACATCACGTACGCTTTCATATGAATATTATACTCACTGCTTTAACGCTTTATGAAATAAATGAGTTCACACACACTTGTACGTACAGATTTTAGTACTTGAAGAGTTTATATGAGTCATCATCAGTTTTTTGTTTACTTTACAATACAATCTTTTATTTCATTAATTTACCTATATACTCAAAACAACAACAATATAAATATAAAGAACAATAACAAAAAATACAATAATATTGTGAGAATAAAAAATAAATAATTCCGCGCAAACTCTCGCATTTTCTCTACACATCCAAAAGTCATTCATCAAGTAAAATTTCAAAATAACATTAACAGAAATTTTATCCAGAAACATTTAGAATAATGTAAATTCTCTTCAAATAACAAGTTCTCGTTCTTAAGCAGACCCTGAGTATAACACTGTTAACTATTAATCTGTTAATGTTATCTGTTATATTACGTAATGTATGTTAAATGTTAATTTACAGTGTTCACTGTTACCAATAAAAAAATAAGAGAGAATAATATAAATGAGAAGAAGATATAATATTATTAAATAATAAGGTTTTGTTAATTTTTGGTATTCCGAAATTCTAATTACATTTACAATCAATACAAGACCAAAATTAAGCATATTTAGTAGGTAATGTGAAATAATATGAAGACGGTCGTAAACATTGATATATTAATATTGTATTTTGAAGTAGGTAAACAGCGAGAAGTTCTTCATGCAACTGCAGAACAGATGGATGAATAGATGGAAATTGTGGCCAACCATTCTACAAATTTGGAAAGTGGTAGAGTTCGAGTCCAGTTCCAGGAGAAAATTTTCATATTTTTTTGCCTTTTTTCAATATTTCTGCTCACATTGGTTTTAGTTACCACATATGCATATGTATGATACTTTTTAGTTGTACCTACCTATTGGGTAACAAAATCAGTTTTTTTCATATTGTTTTACAATAATTTTTTTACTATAAAGAGAATTTTGCAGTTTTTGAAGAGTTTTGCGGACAACAATACCCATCCGGTTGTTAAATACTATGGTAATATAAAACCTGCTACCCAGAATTTACTTAGTATTCACTTGAAAAGTACATTAATATGTATTGAAAATTTACTCTGGTTACGTATAAATACAAAGCAAATGACTGTTACTTTATCACAATCCGAACAATTAAAACAAACGTCAATTTCTCAAAACAAAAACATCTGTACACATACACATAAATAAATTCCATAAGTCCTATAATATTACTGATATGCTCACACTAATATACCTATTATTGCTTTTAAATAATTTTATGTAAACTTACCGATTAAAACTTTGTTCCATATTATTATATTAAACATTGTGATACAAATAAATAACTTCAGTCTTTAACATCTGTTAGTGCCGAATACTCTCTTACTGTTATTGTAGTACAAATGGAATTGTACAAATAAAATATTTATTTAAATTTCATACAATTAATAATTTTACAGGTAGGCAACCATAACTATTTTCATCTCATTTAATAAGTGTAATTTAGCAAATATCAACATAGTTATCCATGTATTGTAAACACAATTAAAAAAAAATAATAAATTTTTAATTTAATTGCACGTTTGCTTTAAACATTTGTTAATAATTAATTAAAAATGCAATAGAACGACGTAGTATGTACATACATGTTTACGTTATCATCAATATTAACATATGTATATTAAAATGACATACATAAATTAAAAATAATATTATTAAAATTTACACGAACTTTACCGAAGCCTTAATTCAATTTTATTTATTCATTTTTTATTATTTATTTTCAGTTTGCTCGTAACAGTGTAAAATAAGTTACAGATTTACTACAATACAACAGACAACAAATTTAAAATTTTTTACTTTTATTAAATTTAATATCAACATCCGAATTAAAAGAATTATTAACAGACTACTCATTTTTTCAATTTCTACTTCAAAAGAAAAAAAAACAAAATAACAGTACTACTTTAACAGAAAGAGAGAATCACACAATCAGAAAAAAGAAAGAGTAGTTGGGTGTATATACAGTAGTGACGCTATTAATATGCTAATAATCTTAATTTAAAATCAGATTGTTCTTCTAATAAATGTTTTATATAGCGAACTGTATATTTAATTATTTTGTTGTATCTTAAAAATGTTTCATAGCAGCCTTTAATAAAATCATAAATTCGGTATGGATGACTAACAGAACAACACACAGTCAACTCAACGAATAATCCAGATTTTAGAGTAACGAAAATATTCAAGAGGAAAATAATAATAAGAAAAGAAAAAAAATGTTTATTTTTTTTTTGTTTTCTGTAAAGTAAACTGACAAAACCAGTCTATTTGGTTCGAATCGTTTTGTTTTTTTCTCTCTTTCTAACTTTTTACTTTTATTGCTATATTTCTATTTTTTCTTTTACAAATTTTTTTTTGCTCATTTTTATTATGTTTTTTTTTGTTTTTGACTACTGAACGAGTGAAGTGCTGTGCTGTTGTGTGTAGTTGCTTTTCTTTAGTATAGCTTGTCGTGTCACTGTAAAAACTTTTCAATTCGATACGAATAGTTGACGGGTTAAGACAACCAATTTTATTTTGTTAAATTAACGGAGGAAATTTGTTTTACGGGATTATTTTTTTCTTTTTTAATTTTTATTTCTATTTCAAATTAATTACATATGCACATATTTTATTTTATGAAAATATAACAAAATATGTCAACCAAATAAATGAAATAAAATTAATTAATGTATGTTCGTTCTGTAAACAAATTTTTGGAGAAGAATCTTAATTTTATAAATTGAAATAAATTTATTTTTTAAGTAAAAATTATTATACCTTTAAATTATTTTTAAAATCAAAAATAAGAAACATAAAATAATTTTTTTTTTTTCAAAAAATTCACAATATAATTTATTTATATTTGATTATAGAGTGAGAGAATTTTGTGAAAAAATATTTAAAGAAAAAAAGATAAAAATTAATAAATTGTGAATATTGAAGGTTTCTCAACAAAAAATAAAGAATAGAAGAAAAAAAAATACATATTTGTATACCAAATAAAAAAAAAAATTAAAATTTCAACTCAATTTAATAAAGAATTTAATGTGCCTTCTCTCGATAATATCAGTTTTATTAATTTGTAAAATAAAAGTAAAAATAATTTTTCACAACTAAACTAAAAAAATTTTAAAACTATTATACTAAAAATAAAACAAAATCAAAAATTCACTGAGAAAAAATAAATCAAAAATTAAAACTACAATATTAATTTTCTGAAATATTTTTCTTGTTTTTGGAATTAATATAATACATAAATACTATATTAATTATTATTAATAAATATATTATTATTAAATAAGTTGATCACATACACGGATATAAACATTATACTTTTATATATTTATAATAAATGTACATGCATACCTAAATATAAAAAATACAAGTAAATCTCATTCATACCTGTTATACAACTTAAATACTCTGTAAAAATAAAAAAAAAAGCAGCATATAAAATTGATTAATACATACATACATACTTATACATTTTTGTGAAATTTCATGAATGTATTTGGATAATATAAAAGTTTTTAATATAAATTACAGTTTATGAAAAATATGAAAATGATTGAATTAAACCACTTAATATATGTAGATTGAGTTATTCAAGAAGAAAAAAAGAATAGCAAAAAAAAATGCTTATATAAATTTAATATTGAAAATATTAACAAATAATTTTCATTTGCTACAAAATATAACCTCAAAAAGCAAAAAAAAATATTTAATTAATACAAAATTTGTAGCCATAACACTACTACTTAAACAAAAAAAAATCATTTATCAAATTAATTATACTTCTTTATTAAAAATAAATAAATAATAATAAAAAAAAAAATAAACAATATTGTAACATCAATATTACATTTTACTAAATTGTGGCCAGTGTGACTCATAACGACAATATCGGTAACAATAACATAAATAATAAAAGTGAAATGAAAATGAGGATAAAAAGAGAATCACCGTGTCTGGTATTAAGGTTTATGCCAATAAATAAATTAGGTAAATATACATATATACATTATTTTTATTATAATTAATTATTTGATATATATATAATTTGATTTTTCTGCGTTTATGTAAGTAGATTATAATTGATTTTATAGTTATGTAATATGTACAAGTTTGTATAATTGTATGTTAGAAATTCTGATGTATATTCTGATTTCTGATGTAAACAAAAATTAAGAGTTCAAGTACTTAATTCTTTTCAGAATTCCTATTAGTAGTACTTATTTGCTATCGCTCTAACTCAATTCGATTGCAAGTTTTCTTTTAAACTTGCGATTTTTTTTCAGTCCGATTGTTTTTTATGCATCATAACACGGGTAAAAGTAAATAGTCGCAAAATTCTATGTCGTTTTAATCATTATTATATTAAATAACAAGTTATTTTGATGATTAAACCCTTAAGTATTTCGATTATTGTTTGTGATTAATACAGATTTTCCTTCTTACAAAAACAGTGCGAGTTTCATTAGTAATTCCTATGTAATATATGGTGGAAACACTATTGATCATAGTGTTTCCACCACATTGTTAAATACATTAAGTGCTTACTTACATATTGTATATATGTATACGTTTTATTGGGAATTTCAGAAAATAATTAAATATTGAAAGCCCTTTATTTAAAATAATTTTTAAATAACAAATTTTCCTGACTTCAAAATTGCAGTACCTATATTTAATACGGTTAATTTAATATCCAATTGAATTTATGATTTATAATTGCTGATTTGTGTAACAATAACACTTAATATTAAATACTATTAAATTTTGAACTCACGGATTAGCTTATAGTTTGTTTATATTTGTAATTACTTGTAAGCATTTCTTATTATGTAAGTACTAGTTACAAATTCACTTAGTTATACTTGTTAATTATAAGCGTGACTAGTATGAATGTGTAACATTATATTATTTCAATCGCTTACATTCATTGATTACGTTTCTAATAAATAAATGTCGTAATTGTCAGTTTTTAATCAATTTCAACAAACAAATAGTTTTCTAATTATTTTCTTAAATGTTATCATTTCCTTATACTACTTACATTACTTAAAAACTAAAGGACATTTCCGTAACAATCGGTCAATAAATCTTTTTGGTTTTATCAACAGAATTTCAATTTTAAAATTATTAATATAAGTACTTACTCATTTAAAATGCTAATTTTTTTTTAAATTAAAGTAGAACAAAAACAGAAACGCTAATCAAAATGATCTCACGTAATGTTTTTAATATTTTTTTGCTTTTTTTTTAAATTCATTTTTTTAATTAATGAGGTTCTGACTATAGTTAGCGGTTCTAAATCTACAATATACTTATACGCATATTACGAATCGGAGTAGTGAATGAATAGTAAATAAGTACTTATGTAATTAATATTCACTCTAAAAAAATGCTGACACTTTTTACATAAAGAGTACCAAAACAAAAATAATAGTGTTGAATACGATTTTTAAACATTTGTAAAATATGACGTCAACTTCTCGGTCCATTTTAGATAAGTTTTTGATTTTACGTTTTTTCTTTTTTTATTTTTATTTGTTTTTGCAATTTTTGCTCATTTCCTAAATTAAACATCCGAACTTTTATGAAAAAAAAACACATATTCCCAAAATGAGCGGAAAGCTTTTAGAAAAAAATTTGGTTTTTTTTTTAAATATTTTTGCATATAACTCGTTTATTTTCATTTCTGTTTACACAAACAACAATAATTTCATAGCATCAATAAACATCATAGCTTTAAAAATAGCCGAGGAACGCAAAGGAATAAAAAAAAAATACTTGGTTTGTTTTTATGATCAATTTTGATTAGCATATTTTATAAGCATAAAACTTAACGTTATAGAAAAACAAATTAAAATAGGTGTGCGTACTTATGCATGCGTACATTACGTAAACATTAGAAAAATATAGGGTATATTTATGTATGTTTGTAATACTTATTATGATTAAAATCTAAAAATACATTAGCTAATGTCAAACAGATTATTAATCAAAATAATATTGTCTAATAATTTTTTTCAATAACAAAAATAAATTCTAAATTATCAAAGTTAAGTAACAATTTTTTAAGTAAACATACGCTTCTCACCAGTTTTGCCCAAACATTTTGGATTTTCTTTCGAAATGCAATCAACTATGAATGAATTTATTATCACAATATATAAAAAAATTGAACGTAAGCCCGAGACATGTCATAATAATTATTTTCCGAAGTTATTAATTAGTTGTTAAATGAAATCATTTCTAAAATTGTATAAAAATATACAATTTGATTATAATATTAAATATTATTGAAGAATCCCACTTACGTTCATTATTTTGTTTTGTTTTTTTAATTTTCATATATAAAATAAATTTGAATATTATTTTATTTAATAATTAAAAAATATTACTTATTGACGTAAACAAATTTACCTAATGAAGTTTTTTATTTAATCACCTAAATAAATTTCAATTTTATTATAATTTTATTCAACATACTTATACAAATACTTACCCACAAATTTATTATTCGACTTGATAGAAAAATAATTAATAAGTATATAAAATGTACTTTTCATATTCAATTAAGTAATTTTTAATTTTATTAATACTTATTAAACAAATTGTGTTTTTGACAGATCTACAAGCCAGACTCACGTTTTTTTCTTTTGCATTTTATTCTTGTTTGTTATTTCATCTCTAAGTAATTATTATTCGTTACTTAGTAAGTAATCGAGAATTATCAACGTGATTGTGAATCATTTCTCATAAGCATACTTAATAATAAGTAAATAAGATGACGTATCAAAAAATTTATGTATATATGCTTCAGTAACATAGGTACAAATGTATATGTTTAAAATATTTTTGCACGTTAATTAAATTAACGGAGTATTTTTAGAAAAAAAAAACATTGTATAAGAAAAGCTTTATTTTAAAACTAGCTTAGTTACTCATTTAGTTATTCCTTTTATCACAATCGTGCTTACTTACTATTAGCTATACATAATATGTATAATAAATATACATGCCTCATACAGTCATGTATAGATTTTTAAGTGTGCTTCAAATTACGAATTTTATGTCTATATAATACTTAAGCATTAGAAATTTAGAATTACGCGCTTCTTTCCCATATTATTTTTTTTTTGTTTAAATGAATATGACATTGAATATCAAATAGGTACTTTTTTTATTCGTATATGTTTGAATATTTATGAATACTTAAGTATTATTATAATATGTACTTACTTAATGTGTGTACATGTATAGGTACATAATAATATTTAAAAAAAAATAAAAATTCTGTTACTTATTGTTTATAAAACAAAACTATAATTTATGCACATATAACTATAAAATATGTAACAAGGGTTATGAAGGAATCTAATTGGCGCCATATTTGTTTCATAATGAATTATTTCTTATACTTTTAGCTAAAATATTATTTTTTAAATAAGTTTTTTAAAAGTACTATTTACAAATTTTAAATGTAAATCTGAAAAATAACAAAAGCAATTTCCTTACAAGTTTCATAATTTAGAATCTAAAAAGTTTTATAAGAATATTATGAGAATATTTACGTTTGCATTAAGTATGAATAATAAAATTGTATATTTATGTACATATGTGTATGTACTTTCTATCTTGTATTCTACATTATTATGCGCTTAAATATACAATTTTTTTTTTTTGTGAAATTTTTAATACCACCACGATGATAAGACTTAAGGAATTTGTTTACAATCTCTTGATAGTAAGGTCAATTTTAATCATTTTCTTTAATAAAATTTTATAATGCTTACTCAAAGAAAAAAAAATTAAATAAATAAATGAAAATCATAATGTCATATGAGTACTTATGTAAGTACATTCTGTTCACAGGGTGTGTTAATATATCCGACATATGATTATTTTTTAATGAACTATTTTGCAAAGTTGTTTGAATTTATCAAATCTCAATTATTTGCAATTACTCTTATTCATATTCATTGTCATTTAAACGCGTTTTCTAAACATTAATTTAAAAATTCAGCTTCTTAAATAAGTAAGAATTTTATTCAGATTTATGTACGGCAAAGCACAATTTACTTTAAAACTAGCAACCGCTGCCACAATGTATTGGATCGAGTACTTACAAACAGCAATTTAGTACTTAAACTAAATCTCGTATTTAGCTAAATACTCATTTGAGTCTAAAATAAACAAAATTCTTAATTTTGAATATTTCTACTACTTATATTTTGGAGTAACCTGTACAGCAAATTCATTTTTGTTATTTTCTTTAAAACAAGCAGTACTTAAGTACTGTTACTCCATACCAAGCATTTACAGTGCACATTGATTAACTCTGTCAAATATGATTGAACACTTATTATTTTTGTAATCATATGTTTTAATAAGTTAGTGCTTACTTATAATCTTTTATAAAAAAAATTAATTAGTGATTAGCGTATTTAATAAATTTGAATTTTTCTACTTTAAATTTATTAATCTTTAATCTTTTATTTCTCAATGAAATTAATAATACTTATTTAAAAAAAAAATTGTTTTTTTGTTCTTTTGTTTTGACCTCCTTTCCTGATCTTATTCAATATTTTAATGTTCGTATATATTTAAATTTATATTTAGAATATTTATTACTTTTTTTATTTCGAAAAGGAGATAATTTTGTAAACGTCAAAAGGATGACTAAATTCCTTTTGAATGATAATGAGTCTGATTCATTTTTTTTTAACTAAGTAAAGTATAATAAAAAGTATGGTAATAAAAAGTATTTACTTATGTAAGAAATACTTTTTTTGTTGTCAATAGAATTGGATTTTCCCAGTTAAATCCACTTATTAACACAGATAAAAAATATTAATTGCATAAGATATTGAACATACTTGTATGCGTACAAATATAAAATTTGTATATTAAAAATGTGAACGGTGTCATTGCCAAATTTTCAAAATTTTGCTAAAAGAGCAACATTATTTTTTAATAAAATCTAAAATTTTATT